ATACACACAGTTTAGCTCTGTTTACAGTTAAATCAGCGCTTCCATCCAATTTCTGTTCTCACTGTTTGTCGTGACTGTGCACGAAAAGTAAAATATAGCTGTTGTAGCTCAGTGTTTGAGCATTATGGTACACTACAATATATTTTGTCATTGCTTCTGCAGTGGTTGTATGGAGTGGAAGTTAGTTTTACCCTGCTAACGCGTAAACCGGAAGTAATCACACTCTCTGTGAAAAGGGCCCATAGGCTCTGAAAAACGTCATATGACGTCACCTAATGTGAGCGGGAGAGATGCTGCGCTGCCCTCGCGCAGTTTGAGCGGAGTTTGGACATTCAGCAGCGGCAGTGAAAACGGGGAAAAGGTGAAAAGGTGAAAGGTGAGGTGGACAGTGATGGACAATTTTCCTAAAATCATTCTAAGATATTTTGGTGAAACCTGAAATCTGTATCTGAGCTGTTTAGAACAGAGTTTTCCTCAGAGTCTGTGAGGACAACAGGCTACGCTACATAAGCTAAAGCTAACAGGGCTAGCGGTACCACAGCAGGCGAGCTTTAGCTGCAGGGCTAGCCTTAACTACAGAGCTAGACTTAGCTGCAGGGCTAGCCTTAGCAGCAGGGCTAGCCTTAACTACAGAGCTAGCCTTAACTACAGAGCTAGCCTTAGCTGCAGAGCTAGCCTTAGCTACAGAGCTAGCCTTAGCTGCAGAGCTAGCCTTAGCTACAGAGCTAGCCTTAGCTGCAGGGCTAGCCTTAACTACAGAGCTAGCCTTAGCAGCAGGGCTAGCCTTAACTACAGAGCTAATAAAGCTGTCTTTAACTAAAACTGACAGGATTTTTTGACCGTCAGTCCATTTGAGCTCAGATTTAATCAATAAATCTAAGCAGCTTCATGAATTTTGAGGAAGTGAAACTAATAAATCCACCAAATAACTGAGACACAAACTCCTATCAGGCTGTAGCTGATCCAGCTAAGCTGCAGCCGGTTGTCGATGCCCGGATTCCCGAAAGTTCTTCCCGCCTGACGGACGGTCGGTTAGCCGTGGTGGGTAAAGCTGCCCCGTGTATCAGCGGAGTGTCTGTACTGATGAAGTTATGGAGTCTGTTTAGGTCATTTCTCCGCTACGCGGCGCTTCAGATCAGTGTTCGCTTAACGCGCTGAAAACAAGGCGGTCAGCGCGGAGGGAGCTGGCCAGGTCCGGACTGACGAGGCTCTGCTGGGCTTCTCAATCAGAGTTTCCGTTCCACCTTAAATGGTGCAGCAGTTACGTACTGGTGCATCCGCCGCACCATTTAAGGTGGACAGGGAAATTCACTCGCACCAGAACGTATCTGTTGCACCGTTTAAGGTGGACAGGATAGTTCTAAAGAGAATCTGGCGGTTAGGAGGCCAAGCTCAGCCTCATCCTGAACTGCCCATCGGGGCTCTGGGAGTTTCCCGCTGTCCTGGCCTGATGAGGCCGCTCTGCTCCTCAGTCGGTCACGCGATCGGTCTAAAACGACTTCTTAAAGCTCACGCGTCATAAATGGCGCGCGCGGAAAATCAGATTAGAGATGTGAAGCTGCTGCCGAGTCTCGCGACTCGAGTTCACAGCACGAGACCAACAGGTCAAGAGACCAACAGGTCAGTCAGAAAGAAATATAAAACACCATCAGCCACACAGAACCGCTCTGACCCACAGCTTAGAGGTACTGCTGGGTCAGACTGAGGGACTCAGTTTGGGACGGACAGATTTCATGGAGGGGCAGAACTTCTGCACTGTAGAGTTAAATATTTTAGAAAAACATCACAAATACAGATTTCTGGGTATTTTTTGGAAACAACAAGAACATAACTTATGAATAATATACTGTACCTATGTATGATATTTGTAAATAAACATTTTATTGTAAAATCTCTGCCAGGTTTGATCACCACTTACACACTGGATATTGATTATATTAGAATTCTTAATGCCAAACAGTTTTATATGATAATCTACAGCTCCATTCATCATTCTGAACATAGTTTTTAATATTCATAATAATGATTTGAAACCTGTGACACTGTATAAAACTTATTTAACATTATTTATTTGTATTTGACACATTGTTTACACTTTGTGTTTTACTGTAAAACCGTTCTGACAGAAATTCTTTGTCACAGATTATTTCTGCACAAGTTCTCCAGCTCAGACTTCTGCAAAGGGCGACGCTTCTTTGACCAAAGGTCAGTTGAAGATCAATTTTCTTGCATGATTCTCAGAATGTTTTTATCACTCATTCACTGATTAAAATAGGGCTGAATCAGTTACTCAGCTTTATTGATCATGCAGTAAAAACTGGTAACAAACATTTCAGTTGTCAGTTTTCCGTTTACATTTATAAAGTGGCGTCTGACCCAGAGTGGCTACCTACTGAATCTGAAGAGGTCAGCAGGTCACTTATAGTGCTGAACCTGTGAGAGCAGATAGAGAAAGAACTGAACAAAGTCTGGGAGCTTTTTCTCAAACTGATGGACACAAACAGCCCCACAGCAGCAGGTCTGGCTCAGCGTTCCACAGAAGCCTGTTCCCTTCAGCCAGCGCTGGTGCTGATTGTGGATCAGAGGAAGAGAAGCTGAAGTGGCTGATTGCAGGTAGCAGAATGTAAACGCAGCAGCGCTTAGAGTGAAAATGAGATCAAGCTGGCGAACAGAGCGCCACCCTCAGCCTCGGAGGACACAGTAGCTCTCCTTCCATGAGAGTTTCCTGACCAACCAGACGCTCCCTGAGGACGAGCAGGTCACTCTTTAGTGATGTGTCAGAATGAGCTGATGTTCACTCTGAGTCTGATCGTGTTACAGACGTTAGTCACTGGAATCAGGCGGATCAGATTCTGTTATTTAGCAGCTTCTTTAAAAACGATCAGACGGTCAGCAGCTCGTCCGTCACAGCCTGACAGACATTAGATAACTGAGTACAGCTGGTTAAAGGGTTCTGGAGTGCTGATTGGTTAGCGTTACTGCTACTTAGCACTGATTGGTTAGCTTAACTGATACTGGGCACTGATTGGTTAGCATTACTGCTACTGAGCACTGACTACTTAGTATTACTGCTACTGAGTACTGATTGGTTAGCTTAACTGCTATCGATCACTGATTGGCTGGTTAAGCAGCTCATTGGCTGTTTGCACTCACTGACGTCATAAACGTACATGAAGCTCCGTTATGAAATCCTATAAATGAATCTGTAAAACACTCAGATGTAACCTGCTGTTCTCTGTTTGGGTAATAAAGTCGTTCTTCTGTATTAAAAACACTTAACAATTTAAATCACTTAATATTTAAACACTTACAATTAATCTGCTCAAATCACATAAACCTGTTGATGTTGGACTGGCTCAGGAGCGCCCTCTAGACAAACACAAACACATTACAGAGCTGCAGTTCTCCTCTATACAAATTCCCTGGTTCCACTGCGAGTCAGAACAGCTGTTTAAATTCTGTCATAGTTGCTCGTTGGGGCCCCTGAGCGGTCGAGCCCCTGGGCACGCGACCCTAAAACCTATGGGATGATCTGGGCCTGGAAAATGAACTGGGTATTAGTACAATAACAACAATAATAACAGTGTTTGAGCTCAGGACCAGCTTCTCTGACCTGATTGTAACCAGCAAAGACACTTTCTCTAAACAGACAACAAAGCACTGTAAGTCTCTCTGGATTAGAGCGTCTGATGAACGCTGTACATGGAATAATTACTGCTTCATTTCAAATCCACTGGATTCATGTTAATAAATGCCCATGAAAGCTTCATTTATTGGATGTACATATTTATGTCATTTTTCCAGTGTTTCACATTTGAAATTTAATCTTTCAGTTTTCCAGCTTTGAGAATTATTTTTGCAAAATTTACTTCTTGTATAATATTCCTACACAGTTTAAAAATATGGTTCTTCAAGGGTTCTTTAGTGAAGAAAATGGTTCTATACAGAAACATGAGAGCTTAAAGAACCCCTTTCATGATTAAGGCGTTCTCTGTGCTGTAGAGTTCTATGAGTGTTCATGGTTCTATAACTATTTACTAAAGAACCATTGAAGAACCATCTTTTTTAAGAGTGTACATTTCTATCAAACCTATGAATTATTAATTTCTGTATATAATATGTGAAGCTACACCGTGACTTAAAACCAGCTTCTCAACTAAAAATTAATTTTACAGACTTTTCAGATCCATATTTTTCCCAAAATAGACTAATTCTATTTCCTTTTTCCTGAATCAGAACTGATTAACATATAAAATCACAGTTGTGCTCTGACGTCTTCATGGTTTAATTATATTTGAATGTTGTTTATTTCACATTTCATTTTCATCAGAAAATTATCAGAAGATTTCTGGATATAATTTTGATTCTAAAACTGACAAACAAGGAAAATATAAACTTTCAAATAAATGAACTGACTTGATGAAGCTGTTCAGACAGAAACAGACAGGCTGTTAGTTTTGGTCCCATTTTAATGATATCAGTGCTAGAACCTCATATAGAACCACATATACTGAACAGTGTTCTCTTCCCACATTGCTGACACTCCTTGGAAAAATAATTTAAAAATAATTTCAATCAATGAAATTAACACTTACATTTGTTTCAATGTTTTTCTTAAGGATCTTTTTAATTTTTTTAAAGTGGAGTTTTAGATACACTGAAGATTTACATTTATTATAGGTTTAAAAATTATTTATAAAATGCTGTCCCATGTTTTTATGTCACTACAGAAACACTGCATTTTAGTCTGTAGGCGGGGCCTTATTTTAGCCACGCCCCTGCATATTAAAGCAGGAAGTGAGGCTGCATCCCTGACCATCATGGCCACATGGTGAGCAGTTAGATCCCATTGTTTTGGAGTAAATGTGTCCCAAAGTCTGAAAATCAGTGTGGAACATTAAGAATCATCACTACCGAAACAGTCACTACTGAAACATTTGGTAAAGTTTCAGTAGTTTTATGATTGTTTTGGTAGAGATGGAATGTTCAATCATTAGTTTTAATAAAATAAACATGATTAAGCTACAGGGTCACTAAAAGGAAAAAGATTTTAGTCTAAAGTTCAAGTCAGTTAAATGTGTTTTCAGCTGTGTGTTTAAATCAGTTTGGTAGAATAATCCATAAATGTCTCTGAATGTTACACCTTCATTACCATCTCCAAACATGTGTTTAAGCAGCTCAGTAAGATTGTCAGGTAATCTGAGCTGCAGTGACTGAACAGCTCTTATAACTGCAGATCATTTCAGTATTAATCAGTGTTTCAGTGCTGATCCACACAAAGACTGAATGAGCTCTAACTGAGCTGATTCACTGATACACTAAACTGCACTGCTGACATTTTCACAGGGCTGATATTAAGGGTACCGAACAGTGGAAACACTCTCTCAGTGAATGTGTGTGTAAAAGTGTGTAAGTGTGTTTTAGTGAGAGGATCAGAGAATGAGAGTTTTCCTCTGTCCCAGTCCAGCTGCACTCGGACCCTCCGCACTGTCTGACCTACTGAGAGGAGAGTGTCTGGCTGTGGTGAAAAACAGACTCTATATTTACCACGCAAATACCACACACTCCAAACTCCTCTCCTGGAGGATATAAGTTTCTTCCTCTGAGCCGACTCTGTCATCACACCCAGTATCCAGTGTTCACTGTCTCCAACTTCAACATCCCAGCAGTGAGTTCCTGAGTTGAAGCCCTCAGAGCCCAGAACACAATAAGATTTATCAAATCTCTCTGGATTATCAGGAAGCTGCTGTTTCTCTTTGGTGACTCTCAGACTGGTCAGATCATCAGACAGGATGAGTTTAGGATGAGCAGTGTTGGGGTCCAGAGTTACAGGAGCTGAAGAAGAAATACACACATATAATTTACACAGAAATAAAAATACATCATGAATTTAATCAAACACTGTAAAACAAATCCCTCTTTAAATGTACAGTAACTCACTGGCAGCAGGGTTTTCAGGTATTTACTGTCATTAATATTTACAGCACTCATACTGTAATGTTTGTTTACAGTAATGACTGAACTACAGTTTAAATGCAGTACATTTATATTTAAACACTAAACACTGACAGCAGAATATTACTGTAATCATTATTATCCTCTTTTCTGAACATTATTCATACACATACATATCAGGAAATAAAGAGTTAAACTGCATCATAAACACTTTAAAAAGAGTCAACAATCCTAAAAAGAATCAACTGATTCATTTCAGCTTTTCAGAAATACAGAAAGCTGTTCTTTCTAAAGCTAACAGGCTAACAGGCTAACAGGCTCCTCTAATAAACTCACAGCTGGATTTAAGGTGGAAAATTTACTGAAGGATTCACTGAAAAACTGAAATAAACAGAGTAAAATTATGTTCCATGCAGGTCTGACGAGCTCCAAACGTCAGGGTTTAATCTGAGCTGTACAGCTTTAAACTCAGTGTGGAAACTCAACACGCCAGAATAACGACTTTCAGAAAGTGGAACTGTTTCAATATAATTAGTTATGAGCTTAAAAAAGGTCTTTATTTTGGTCAAACAAGAAATTTATATTCTGCCACTAGAATCCAGAAAAAAACTTGCTTTTGATTGGCGTCTCACAAAAAGCAGTGTTTAGCGCCAGAAACAAGACGAGCTTTTCACCGACATCAAATATCGCTCATAATGACCAAGCACAGCCGGATCTGCGGTCAGGGAGACGTGGGTCATCACGCTGGGGCTCTGAGAGCTGAAGTGTCTTTAGTTTATACTAGAAAAACACACTGATTGGAGTGATTTACTGAAAAACACTCACAGCAACACTTACTGACCAGCACATTCACACAAACACACACACCCAGACTGACCACAGCTCTGCCCACTGAAACACACAGCAGTGTTTCTGTAGCTGCGTTTCTGAACAGAATCAAATCTGATTGGTTTTCTGTCAGAGGGTCATTGTATTGTGTCCTGTTAAGATCTTGATGCTCTCCATGTCGTTTCTGATGGTGTGAGGGGTCCCGCCTTATTTTCGTCTCTTAGCCCCCCAAACACTGTTTACCATCTGCTGCTATCTGCCGTCACCTCAGTCCAGCTTCAGCAGGTCCTGACAGAGTGGACGCTGCTGTTTTCCACCATTTCCAGACACAAACACTCATTTAAAGACCGTCAGCTCATGTTTACAGACGTGTCTGTGTCAGTGTCTCCAGTTGTTTGTGAACTTGGTGTGTAACAGCTCTTTTACTGATGCTGAGAAAGCGAGCGGCTCATTCTGAGCACAGAGTCCTCAAAGGTAAGATAAGAAAGAAACAAAGATAGGAAGCTGGAGAAAGAAAGACTCACTGAAGTGAACGATCTGCTGCATCGTCTCCCAGACGGTGAACTTCAGGTTGGCCAGATGTTTGGCCACATGGAGCAGCGCTCCTGAAAGGCTCTCTGGATCCTGCAGTGTGAGCTGAGCTCTGGAAGAACATTCAGGACTCAGTGCTGCTGAAGCTTTGAGTTCAGAACCACAGAAAAGAGAGAGACGGCAGACAGTAACACTCACCTTTTCACTGTGGCCTTGTAGTTCTGTAAAACAGTGAGAGTGGATCAGTGACTCTGCTCTCCGTTCAGTCATGGGCTTATTTTTATTTACTGAATAAACAATTTCACACAGTGGAAACACCACAGGGGTCATATGTGTCAGATATACGTAGAATCCCCACTGAAGTACAAAAAATCATCATTTATTGGTTAATTTCTTTTGGGAGGTGTTTGTTCCAAACATAATCTAAAAGTCCTAAATTTCTGAAAATAACACTTACTTTTTTGTACTTTTCAGTTCTTTTTCATTTTTTGTTATATTAAAGTTGAAATATGCTGATTTAGAATCGTCACTACCGAAACACAGATTTTCTATTTCTGTTTTCTGTTTGTTTTATGTATGTACAGCTGTATAAGTCTTATCAAAATGAGTTAAAATTGTCATTACCGAAAGTCACTATTAAAACGTTGGGTAAAGTTTTGGCAGTGCTATGATTGTTTTGGTAGTGACAAAATGGAAAGTTCAGTCATTTCTTTTAATGAAATAATTAAACTATACGGTGAACTCAAAAGGATTTTAGTCTAAAGTCCAAATCAGTTAAATATGTTTTCTACTCTGACTTTGAACCAGTTCAGCAGAATAATCCAATAACGGCTGCTGATCACTGATTGGAGGACTAAGAAAATCAAACAGGGTTTGGAATTGATCAGTTTTCGCAGATAAAAAACAGAGACGATTATTCATTAATAACATAATAAACAGATGTGACTCACAGACCCTCAAAACATGGGCCTGAATGTAAGTGAACACCCTGCACACTCAGACGCTTCGACACCGGCCGCCTTTATTTAACGCCACTCACACAGCAGCACGTCAGGAGGGAGAGAGAGCTGAGTGAGGGATATTAATGATATATTTCTATGAAAATTATACATTATTAATGTAGTTTTATACATTTGAACTGATCAGATAGATTTTATTTGAAGTTTTCACTCTGAAAGTGTCGACAGTGACGATGTTCCCAGTTCAGTTCTGTAAGTCAGAACTGTTCGTTTTGGTTCCTTGTTCAGGTTCTAGCGCTGACTGAGCGACACTCACCTGTAAGAATGGAACATCTTCAGCTGCCATCTCCTCTTCTACGGCTCTGATAGTGTCTGAAAGGGCTGATATCTCTCTGCTCATCTTCTCAATCCTCTCCTTCATCGTCTGACTCTTCTGCTCCTCTTCCTCCCTCAGTGCTGATATCCTGGCTGCCTCTTCATCTCGTAGAAACTGGTGAAGCTCCTCAAACTCCTCCTTAATCTGCGTCTCTGTGCGTCGGGCCTGAGTCTGGAAGGAAGCAGTGAATCTAATGAAATATGAGCGATTATGTGAGGATCCGGTTCATAATCTCAGAAGAGTTTGTTACTCTGACCTTTATATGATCTGCAGTCCGATCCAAATCCAGCTTAAACCTTTTAAAGACGTCCAGCTTCTCCTTCAGGGGCTTCAGTGCAGTTTTGAGCTCCTCCTGAAACAAATCAGCGTTTTAGTGAGAAACAAAGCCAGATATATGGTGCGTTCCAATCGGGAGGCAGCTGTCTAAGTAGGCAGCATTTGGTCATTGTTTTGATCAAATATGAAGGCAACATCACATGTATCCTTCCCAGTGAAGGCAATCCCACAATACTGTTCACCTGCTCACCGCCCGAGAGTTCCATCGCTTCAGTTGGATAAACATGGCGGACGAAGCGGACGTTTTTTGCTGACCGAGAAGATTACAAATGTAAGTTATTTCTTTACTTCTGTGTTTACTGTTTTGATTGATTGTTGTATTTGTGTAAAGTATTTAACATATTTGTGTTTGTAGATCTGTAGAAATTGTTCCTGTGGTAACATGTTGGCCGTTCGCTCGTCGAAGGCGAATTGGCAGGCTGCGTTCATAAGGCCCGAAACATACTTCACTCAAGGATGCGAGCGCAGATGACAGCGCTCGGTCAACACACTGCAAAAGCTCGGTCCTTCTGTACAAACTCACCACGCGATCTTACCACTGTGGCGGTTTAAACACTCAGTCCTGGAGGGGGCGATAGAGTACAAATCAGAGAGGGATGTACTGTTAACAGCCTCAACAGCTAAACGTGGACAGTAGAGGAGAGTGAGCTGCTTTACCTCTTCTCTTGGATTGGAAATGCAATAATCATATTTTTATGCCCTCTTTGTGTGAGATTCAGCTGCTCGTCTGCTGTGGCAGTTAAGAAACACACTAGGGGTACAAGACTGCTTGGTCAGGCTTGGCTGTGGTTATAGCGCCCCTTGCTGTAACGCTCAGAATGCAGCTTGCGCTTGCGTCGCGTAATGAAATTCGTCATGACACATTTTTGAACGCAACTACGCGTGAAACCCTGTCTGTGTAGCTCGAAGCGTCTGCGTTCGCATCCTTGTGTGAAGTATGTTTCAGGCCTAACACAATAGGTGAAGCTAACGTTAGTTAGCTTAGCTAGTGGGCTAGCTGTGTAAACTCACTGGCTGTTCAAAATGAGAGAGTCCAGTTTAAAATGTTGGCTGTTCACTGTTTAGTAGTGTTTAGTTTAGTTCAGCGTTAGTACTCCGGGATTTTTCTGTCCTCAGGAACGTAACGTTACAGCAGTGGAGAGCCGCAGTCTGAGGGGCTGAGGAAGAGGAGCGGTTACAGGGAGAAAACTGTGCCGAACGACCGAAAGCAGCTGACTTGCCAGGGGTGTTTGGGAAAAACTGCGGAACCAGCACTACAGACTGACGTTCTCCCTGAACGATGAAAAATACTTTAACTTACTGGACGATGTAGAGATTCAGAAATAAAATGTTTTTACAAATAAACACCACAACTGCTTATTTTTCCTGTTTTTATCTGGGGTGCCGAGTCGAGTATATAACAACATAACGTTACGAGTCATTACAGCAGCCTGTTCTTCATACACAAATACCCACAACAGTGTCAATGCAGGAAAACAGCTGCTGGAGACTCAAAGCCGTCCTTTAACACGGAGGTGATTCACCTCTACAGTCAGAGGGGACTGTAAGCTAATGAGTAACTGTGAGTAAACAGGTAAGACGTGTACAGCGCAGTGAAAGTTCTGACATATGATGGCTTTGAAGCACCGTCCTGAATGTGATGCCTACTAAGGTTCCTTTTCGGTTAAAATGCTGCCCAACAAGAGAGGAACCTTTGAAGGCTGCCTTCAGAATGGAACACACTAAAACTGGTGTCCCAATGTGTTCCTGTCTCTCAGAGTGAGGATCCAGGTCACACATTTAAGAAAATGACCAGTTATTTTTATTTTCAGCTGAATTTAGTGAATTTATGGAGCTTCTGACAAAGTGTGGTCACTCATAACCCACCTTGTAGTCGAGTGCTGCTTCCTGAAGGGGGAGAAATTTGTGGTTGGTGTGTATTTTAGAGTCCCGACACACCAAACACACCGGCTGTAGATCGTCCAGACAGAAGAGTTTGAGTTTCTCAGTGTGGTCACTGCAGATGTTTCCAGACTCTGCTGAACTTCTCTGACTTCTCTCCTGTGAGAAACTCTCACACAGGTTCTTTAAAGCCAGGTTTCTAGGAGGGTCCATTGAAGATCTCCTCCTACAAACTGGACATTCTCTGGATCCTTTGGTTTCCCAGAACTTCTGCAGACAGACTTTACACACACTGTGGCTGCAGAGCAGAACAACAGGATCCTTGAAGATCTCACAGCACACAGGACAGGAGAGATCCTCCTCTGAGAAAGATCTAGAAGCCATTTCCTGCCCCTGCTGTTCCGTCCAGTGAGAACGCTCAGACTTTCACTTTCAGTTGTGTGAAACTCTCACCTGATCTCAGGTGTGTTTCCAGTCAAACAGGCGGCTGTAGATCCAGTTAGTGATCATTTCCCTTCAGAGTGATTCTCCGGATCCAGAATTCTCCATAAACCCACCAACAAAAGTGGACGCCTCACACTCAGCACCTCCTCGGTAGGAGGAGTTTCAGTGGGAGGAGTTTAAAGAAGAAAGGCTGGAAGTGACGCCAGAGAGCAGGAAACTACGGAGCCCCACTGGTGACATCCTGTATAAATAAAAATAATGCGTAGCCACGCCTTATTAATGCGTGGGAACGAGATCCTAATGCGTGGCCATGACTTAGTAAAGCGTGGGAACGAGATCACGGCTTACTAAGTCGTGGCCACGCATTAGGATCTCGTTCCCACGCTTTACTAAGTTGTGGCCATGACTTAATCATCTCATTCCCACGCCTTACTAAGTCGTGGCCATGCATTATTTTTATTTATACAGGATGTCACCAGCGGGGCTCCGTAGGAAACAGATCAAATAACAATAAAGCTGGAATTGTAGAGTCGCTCCACACCAGCTGACCTACAGCCTGTCAGTCACATCATGGATTTACAGTAAAATTACAGTAAAAACTTCAACACAAATCATGAAGCTGTGCAGAATTTCAAAGATCCTCTTAGTTTTATTATGATTTTTAAAGTTTGACTCATTCGGCTCTAAATTACCTCTCAGATATGAAGCTGAGCTGCTTAAACGGCTGAACTGAAGATAAACATTCAGGGATCATCAAGTTATCAGTCTCTGGGCACAAACGTTTAGTGGTCCTACCTGATCGGTTAGGATTGCTACTTCTAGGCGCTGACTGGTTAGCATTACTGCTACTGAGCGCTGATTGGTTAGCATTACTGCTACTGAGAGCTGATTGGTTAGAATTACTGCTACTGAGAGCTGATTGGTTAGCATTACTGCTACTGAGAGCTGATTGGTTAGCATTACTGCTACTGAGACCTGATTGGTTAGCATTACTGCTACTGAGAGCTGATTGGTTAGTATTACTGCTACTGAGAGCTGACTGGTTACCATTACTGCTACGAAAAAAGATGGTTCTTCAAAGTTTTCAAGAAAAGCAAATGGTTCTACATAGGAATCATGAACCCTCAAAGAACACTTTGCATGATTAAGGTGTTCTTTGCATCATGAAAGGGTTCTTGAGAATGTGTTGTAGATGGTTCTATATAGAATCTCTTCTATATAGACCCATTTTAATCCTACATTTAGCACCAAAAAGCTTGACATTGTAACAATAGCAGAACCTTGTTTGGTGCTATATAGAACAATTTATTTATCTCCATTTCACCAGGCAAAGAACCGTTTCTTTGAGTGTTCATGTTTTCATGTAAAACCATTTTCTTTTACGAAAGAACCTTTGAATGACCATCTAGTTTAAGTGTGTGCTGCAATACAGTTTAAATACAACAAGCATTATAATTTAATTAATTAAAAATGAACCAAAAACATAGACAGGTGTTGTTTGAAGGTCTAGAAGGCCCTGAGGGTTCTCACTGAAGAACATCAGCTTATACTGCACTGAAATGCAGAAATGTGCATGACATCAACATGAAGGCATTAATTCAACCCAGACATCCATTAACAACCACCAGCTAATCAGCTCTTAGTTACATTTTATGCATTACGATGATCAACAATAGTCATTCGGTTAAGTTCCAGTGCTGGCGTATCACTGTCCAGCTGCTAGCGAATGATCTGTAGCTGGACTCGAAGGTGACGTCCTTTTTTTAAAGCCTTTTCAGGGCTGATATGGGAGAAGCCAAATGTTCCAATGTTCGATTATTTCAAGCTCTGAATATTCCAGCGTCAGCTCCTCTCTGACTGATCCGCCTCTGCGGAGGCCGAATCTCTCTGAAATAAGGGCTGTGGACTCACTTGGCTTGCTGGATGAGGAGTGCAGGCTGCATGATGACCTCTGAGACGCCCACTCGCTTAACCTGGAACGGACATTTATCATTTCAGCACATCTCTCTGTCAGTTTAATGGCCTACCGGAGATCCGTCATCTGTCATTAAAAAGACATGACGCTGAAACTCCGGCTTACGCTCCCTCCACGTTTCTTTTCGCTCCACCTTTGAAATCAGTCATCAGAAATAACAAAGGACCGAGTGTCCTCTGACACGGCACTTCACGCTCTTTGAAAGATGAGCAGTTTCAGAGGATGGAGCGTTTCAGATATGCAAAAGCTTAAAGGGACGACGGCTGTGTCTGAGTGTCTAGTGACACAGGCAGCATTTTAAACCACACTGTCAGTGAAATCTACTCTCTAATTCGGTCAGTTTGTTGGGCAGCTTCATATATTGTTTGTAATCTATAATGATAAACTTTCTTAAAATTTCATTTTCATTCAATTAATTTGTTTAATTGTTTAATCAATGTTTTTTCAAATATTACTTCATTTCTGAATTTAGTTATGTTGACAGTCTTTAGTACACTGGTGGTGTTCATAGATTAGCTCAGTTCTGGGTCATTGTCTAACATTAATTAGAACCTCATTAGCTAGACAGCATTAGCTAATTTGTTGTTCCAGTAAGTTTTACTTTTTGTGAGGTTTTATGTACCAAAAACAGTCATAGCTCATTCCTACATGACTATTTTCCAAATAGTCTATTTAACCTCTCTTTATCCCTTACAATTTTACAAGCTGTTTTTGTTACTGTGTCTTTAAGACTGATATATGTAAATGAGTCCTTTCTGATTGGCTGCCCTTATTCAAAATACAGTTTGAGCTGAAACTCTCCTTGTAAATTTTACTGTGAATCAGTGGGGCTAAACTGCTGTAGACTGAATGGTGGAGCTAAACTGCTGTAGCTGAATGGATGGAGCTAAACTGCTGTAGCTGAATGGTGGGGCTAAACTGCTGTAGCTGAATGGTGGAGCTAAACTGCTGTAGCTGAATGGTGGAGCTAAACTGCTGTAGCTGAATGGTGGAGCTAAACTGCTGTAGCTGAATGGTGGAGCTAAACTGCTGTAGCTGAATGGTGGAGCTAAACTGCTGTAGCTGAATGGTGGAGCTAAACTGCTGTAGACTGAATGGTGGAGCTAAACTGCTGTAGCTGAATGGTGGAGCTAAACTGCTGTAGCTGAATGGTGGAGCTAAACTGCTGTAGACTGAATGGTGGAGCTAAACTGCTGTAGACGAATGGTGGAGCTAAACTGCTGTAGCTGAATGGTGGAGCTAAACTACTGTAGCTGAATGGGTGGTGCTAAACTGCTGTAGCTGAATGGGTGGTGCTAAACTACTGTAGCTGAATGGGTGGTGCTAAACTGCTGTAGCTGAATGGGTGGTGCTAAACTGCTGTAGGCTAAATT